CAGCAATTGTCATCTGATGTTGTGCTGTGTATCAATTCCACCTCTACCCAGTCTCATACCCTCTATTTAGCTAAGTTACAGGGCAGCGCTACCCGCCCCAGCTCCAACCATCATCGGCAGGATTGTTACCGTCGGTCAAATTAGTGGACTGCCTTCCTCCCTCAGAAATCCCCAGATCTCTCTACAAGACCTCGAGTTCCTAGTAGGTTAGGTTACAGGGCGATGCCCCAGCCCCAGCACCGGACGGGAACCAGCCAACTAGGAAGGGGTCAAGATCTGTTAATTAGGCAATAGTTATCGCCACACTATCTCAAAGTTTTTTTGGATTAGATCATGATTCCCACGTTCTTCTTGATGCGTTCCAACCTGAATTTTCGGTTTGAAAAAAAATCCTAATCAACTTCGAATTTCTTTCAATAATACTTCTCTACTTTTTCGAAATTTCAACTTCTAAGTGGGTTGCCTCCTAATGACACCGCCAACAGACATCAACTGGACAGTGGCCAGAAGATGGATCGCAACAGGGTGGGTGGCAGATACTGTGACAAGATTGTCAGCAGCTCTCCCAGCTTTTTGGAAGCAGCTAATGGACCTGGTGGTAAGTAAGCATTCTGCTTTGGTTGTTGATGCACCTGGCACTACCGGTTAACATTTGGTGTGCAAGAAGAACTGCGAAGGCTGCACCGGAAAGTAGGATATGCCTGGGGACCCGGATGGAAGACCTTCAACTCTTCTTGTTACAATGCGACCTTTCTAGGCCATTTTGGGAATGGTGGAGACAATCGGGTGTGCCGATCCCGGGGGCGGATACCCGTTGGGGAGACAATTTCATCCTCATAGGAGCTGCGCCAGGAGAACGAGGCCGCAGTTACAATGTGGTCACGCAGAAGAGACCATCAGGGGCGCCATTTTATGGACCCTCTGGAACCCCTTAGAAATGCCAGGGTGAGGAGAGATGAGCACTTAACACCACCGATGGCTAGAGCTGAGATCAAATATTCCATCAAACAGGCCATTTCGGCAGACTGGGAATATCGTGTTCAGAAAAAGGGTTTTTCGGCCAAGGCCATTAAGTGGTTTGGGAGAAGATGGGGAGTTTTTTCAGGCTTGGTCACCATGGACACCCCGCTGGACCGTTCACCACTGTTGCGGTTCTCTGCTTTCTTTGTCTAGTTTTGCTTAGTCTTGTATATTACCCTTTTTTACGTGCTTCGTATACAGTTCTTCTGCCTTTTATACATAGTCGGTTCTTTTGAATGGACTGTTGTTAGATTAGGCCTCTTTTTCAGTGTGCTTCTTTTCATCTCCATCTGGAAGATGACCTTAGGCTTAGTAGATTTCTGGCTGGCTCTTTTTCAGTGTGTTTCTTTTCATCTCCATCTGTAAGGCGACTCTACGCTTAGTAGATCTCCAGCCGTTTTTTGTCAATTTGTAGGTTTTTAGTTTGTTAAACCATTCAAAGATAAATCTTTTGGCTGTGGTCAGGATGGGCGTGGCCGGGAGTGCCTTACCCAGCCTGCAAGGCCACGGGATAAATGTAAGGGACGCCGGACCAGTTTTCCGACTTGATAAAAAAAAAAAAAAAAAAAAAGATTTCCGAAGGATCTATTATATTTATTTATTATTTATTATAAATTATAATACAATTATTTTTTATTTTTTATTTTTCATCATTGTTATTAAAATTATTATTATTATTATTATTATTATTATTATTATTATTATTATTTCTATTATTTTTATTTTTATTATTTTTAAATAATAAGACCATCGCCAACACCAGGTACATGCCGTCACATCACAACCTCATTTCTCTCCCTCTCACCCTCGACTTCTACTAACCACGTCTTCCCTCTCATGCACGCAGACCACCACCACGTCCACTGGCTATGTCCAAGCCAAGCCCGGCTATGGGGGCTGGCTATGGCGCTGCCCTCAGCAGTGCCGTTCACCCTGCACGTCCACGCGTGCACGCAGCACTAGCGCTAGCACAGCTAGCAGCCGGCGAGCGATCGCTCCAGCAGCGCTGCTGCCCGCAATTGCAAGTGCTCGAATGTCTCGACTGGACCCCACCCCTTTCCTATATGGGAAGTGGCGGGCGGTTTCCCACTTGCTTCCCACGTGAGACTGAGTCTCCAGTAGCTTCAGTCTCGGCCAAAGCGTCTGCGCCCAGGACCGTTCAGACAGTGGTGGCCTGGGACCGAATTGGTTAGGCATGCCCAACCACCCAGTCACAAACATACGGTGCTCCCAAAATTGCTTTGACCACGTTACTGGAAGAGCCTGGAAGGCTCAGAAACATTTTGCCTGGAAGGCTTACAAATATTTTGGATTCTCACGAGCAACGCGGATGTAACCAACTGGCGCGTGACAACTGTCTGGTGCCGACCAAGATTTGCAAAATTGACGAGTTCAGGGCACATTGAGATTCAGGGACCAGCCTTCACTTAGGGAGGCCACGCACCTGCTGCAGGGCCCTATGCCGAGGCATAAACCCTCACACATAGCCAAAAAAAAAAAAAAAACCTTATAACTTATATAAGGTCCAACCAGGTGCATAAAGTCACATAGCAACAAAAAAAAGAAGAAACAAGGAAAAAAAAAAAAAAGGAAAACCATGCGATTGGATCACAAATCTTGCGCAACTGGAGTTACTGGACTCTATTGAACTCGTTTTGTTCGTGTTTTTTTTTTTTTTTTTTTTTTTTTTGTGTGTGTGTGTGTGTGTGTGGTAGAAGTGGGACTCTCTAATTACTGCATGGCATGTGATTTTTTTTTCGCAAAGCTTGCTCACCATTTTTAATTGGAGAAACATAAAGAGGTTCTCCATTGACATTATTTATATCCTCACTGGCAAAAGGCACCTTGGGGCCCCCATCAAATGCCATCACACCAATAAAGAAAAATAACGGTCAAGTTGTTTTCGCAAAGCTTGCTTACCATTTTTAATTAAAAAAACATAAAGAGGTTCTGCATTGACATTATTTATAATTTTATATCCTCACTGGCAAAAGGCACCTTGGGCCCCCCATCAAATGCCATCACACTAATAAAACAGTCAAGTTGTTAACCCAAAAAAAAGAACAAACCAGACTTGCTATCTGTCTCCATAACCAGAGTCCAAACCAGAACCCTGTTGAAGCCTTGAAGGGAACCCAGTGAATGTAGGACAACCCC